GGGGGGGGGGCGGTGGGGGGGGGGGGGGGGGGGGGTCTCCTGCCCAGGGGAAGTGGGTGAAGAGGCCCAGCAGGGTCTGTGTTTTGGGCAGCCATAGGTTCCCCCTGCACCCCCACACCAATGGCTTTCTTACTCCTCCATGCACCCTGCTTGCCCGGGCACGGAGGTTGTTGTGTGGGCCCTGGGTGGGATTCGTGGCCATGGGCAGCTGTGGGGTACCAAGGCGATGCCTCCCTGTCACTCCTTTCTCCTTCCAGCCTCGCAGAATAGCTACCGAATTGACCCCAATCAGGAGCTGCTGGCCATGGGTAAGAGCTCAGCCCTCAGGGGTGCCAGGATGAGCTGCCGGGCAGCTCCAGAGACCCAGCTAGTGGCTTGGGGTCCTGCCGCCCGCCGTCCTGTTTGCTCCCTGGGGGTGGTAGGAGTACGGGAAGGGGTTGAGGGAGACTGGCTCACCCCGTCCCCCCAGGCAGCATCCCATCCGGTGGCTGCACCACTCGACACCCCTTCTCTTCCCTCCGTCTCCCCCAGGCTGCACCAACCTCCTGGGCTCCTTTGTCTCATCCTACCCGGTCACAGGCAGCTTTGGGCGGTGAGTAGCCCCTGTGAGAAGGGCCCAGCTGAGCAACTCGGTGCTTGGGGTGGAAGGGGCCGCAGCAGGGTCTATGGTACAGGGGCAGGGGAGCCCAGGCTGGCCCGTGCAGGTCGCATGGGGCTGAGTTGGCTGCATTTCCCCTGCTCCTGGCCACTGAGGGTTTGCTTCTGCTGGGTGGTTGGTGCCTCCTCCCCTTCGGCCTGTAAGAGTGCACGTGCTTTGCATCCCAGGACAGCAGTGAACGCGCAGTCCGGTGTGTGCACCCCAGCCGGGGGGCTGGTCACAGGTGGGTGCTGGCGCTGCCCTTGGGCCCCTCATCCCCATGCCCTGGGCCTGGATGGGCAGCCCCTCGGCTGTTAGCGAGTCCTGCTTTGGGGCCCCGTGAGTGGGGTTGAGGGGAGGTTATAATGGCTGGGGCTGGGGCTGGGGAAGCCGTGCCCAGTGGCTTGGTGCCAGCACGGCCATGTCTCACCACTTGCCTTGTCCCCGCAGGGACCTTGGTCCTGCTCTCCCTGGCCTACCTGACCTCCTCCTTCTACTACATTCCCAAGGCGGCGCTGGCTGCCGTCATCATCGGGGCCGTGGCTCCCATGTTCGACGCCGGGATCTTCAGGACGCTGTGGCGTGTTAAAAGTAAGGGCACGAGCCACCAGCGACACGCTCTTGCCTGGGTCTGACCCAGTGCCCTCCCTGCCTCAGCTCGGTGCCCTGCGCTGGGTCTAGGGCAGTGGGGACGGGCCCGGCTTTGGTCGAGGGCATTCATCAGGTTGACTGCACACGTCTTGGTGTGCATGCAGCTGGATGCAATCATGATTCACATGTGGGAGCTGCTGGTGCAGGAGCTGCAGAGAACAGTCCTGGGCGTGGCATTCCTGTGTCCAAGTGCCACGCTGGAGCGGTGCCTGCTCACACCCGTGTGCTCTGCACCCTGCCGGGCACCCAGGCTGCTGGGGTGCCCCAGATCAAGAGAGGATGTTTGCCCCGTCCTAGCACTGTGGAAGTCCCTTGGTGGCCCAGCACTTCTGTCGCGCTGTCTCTCAGGGATGCTGCCTGCTGCTTTGCCCCTTGCTTTCCTCCAGAGACTAGGCCTTTGGCCCCAGCCTGCCATCCCTGCAATCCCGTTGCATCAGTGGTCTGCTCGGGATTGAAGCCAGAAGGCTTATACAAGCACCAGACCCTGAATCGTCTGAATAGAAACCAGGGGCTTCTCCTCCCGCCCCAGGCTCTGCAGCTGCGTCAACCCAGGTGTGAGAGGGCAGCGTGGGGCAGCACCTGGCTTCTGTCTTCCAGAGCTCGACCTTGTGCCGCTGTGCGTGACCTTCATGCTCTGCTTCTGGGAGGTGCAGTACGGCATCGTGGCCGGCATCCTGGTCTCGGGGGTCCTCCTGCTCTACACCATTGCCAGGCCCCCGATAGAGGTTCGGTTCAGGTCTCCTGCAGCATCAGGAGGGCTTTTTCGTCTGCGCAGGTCTCTCCCCCCGGAGCGATGGCTGGATGCATTGCGGTGCCTCCTAATGTTGCTCCTGCAGCCTTCCTCCATGTCACCGTCTCCGGTCGGACATGGGGCCATGAGGACAGGAGAGAGGGATAAGCCCACGCAGCTCTGAGCGGGGTGGGTGCTCTCTCTTGGCACTGCTGACACGCTCTCAGTGCACACAGCTACGGGGTAGGAGATGATGTAAGGTGGGAGATGGGGTGAAGGCCCCATTGTCTGCCCCTTCAAAGCGAGGCATAGAGGCTTGTGACCCTATGTCCATTTCTCTCCAGGATAGGAGGGGGAACAGGGGCCATCACGAGGTCCTGGGCATGTTCCAGCCCCCTCTTCTGCTCTCTCTTCTGCAGGTCTCCGAGCTGGGGGTGCATCTGCTGCAGCCTGCGAGCGGCCTGCACTTCCCAGCTGTCGAGCACCTCCGGGAAGCCGTGCACCAACGGGCGTTGGCAGGTACGGGGTGCTGTGCTGGGGCTGGCAGCCTGCCACTGGGGTCTGGCGGATCCTAGAAACACTGTAGGACGATCCCACCGTCACTCCCCACATGGCCCAGTTCATGCTACTCTTGCAGGCCAAAGCCTGGGGATGTTGCACCCACCTGTGAGCAGTTGGCTGTCTCCTAACCACCCCCAGAAACCCTCCTGCCTACAGTGAGGCTGCGAAGGCACAGACCTTAGGTTGTAGGTCTACAAGGGACCTCAGGTCCCCTTCTTGTGATCCAATGTCCCAACCCCTCGCATGAGTGAGGGGATGCTGCTGCCAAGCTCATCCCTGTGCCTCCTGCCCCATAAGGCCACTCCAGGTGCTGCTGGGCTTGCTGCGAGATGCCCACATGATGCTCTCCCAGCAGGGTCACCTGCACGCTGCGTCGTCCTGGACTGTGCGCACGTCAGCAGCATCGACTACACGGTCGTGCGGGGGCTGGCGGATCTGCTGCAGGAGCTGCTCAAGAAGGACGTCTCCCTCGTCTTCTGCAGCCTGCAGGTGCGTGTGGGCTGTGGGCAGCAGCATCAGCTGGCCTGTCTGGGGGGCACCGGTACATGCGTGCTGGTGCTGTGATCTGTAATAGCATGGACATGGCAGAGAGGCTCAGCTCCACTTGTTTCTTTTTGGGGGGGCTGCAGCTGCAGCGTACTGAGCACCTGAGCCTTGTCCTGGCCACGGTGCAGCCAGGTGTGGAGAGGAAGGCCCGTGGGGGCTTGGGCCAGCCCTCTCCATGGCTGCAGTCGAGATGGGGGATGCTGCTCTGTCCCTCTTCTGCTCTGGCTGCAGGGCCTGGGGGTCTTCGGGCTGCACCAGGTGTGCGTATGGGGTGGGGGCTGCAGCTCTCACCTGTCCTGCGGTTGAGTTTTAAGGGTGGGTTTGGCCCATCCTTCAGGACGAGCCATCTGGGGGCCCTGGCAGGCTCCAAGTGCTGGAAGTGGGATGCCGTGACACCCCTCTGCCCTCTCCCCCCAGCCTCATGTTCTCCATGTCTTGCTGTCTGCGAACCTGGAAGGATTTCGGCATTTCCCCAGCCTGGAGGAGGCAGGTGAGCAAGGCCAGGGTCCTGACCGGGGCAGGGACAGTGTCTTGGCTCAGTACCTGCTAAGAATCTGCTGTGGTCTTCCTGGGACCCGCCTCTGTGCCAGCCTTGGCTCCTGCAAGGTCCAGTACGGAGCGGTGGCCTCCAAAGAAGTGCCTCAAACACTTGGGCCAGGAGCTGCTGCGGACCTGGGGCTGGGGGAGGCCCCTAAACAGAGCCCTCCCCGAGTGTGCAGGCATGCAGGTGCATGGCTTCACAAGGCTCTGGGGCCCTGCACCGGCCTAAGAGACCTCCCCTGTGTCAGAGCTGGGTTCAGCCTCTGCAGGGCTAAGCTGGT